TGGGTGTCGTGGTTTGTCTCCCCATCTCCGCATGTACCTTCTTGGGAACTGCCCACTCGTCAGGATGAGTCTCTCCAGGAAGGGGAGACGTGGCTGCCACCACTGCATGGGAAACCCCAGGTCCCCAGGAATGAGGAGCCGTCTGGGAACCCAGATTTCATGGACAGTGAGAGCCCGGGAAGGCGGGGAGAGGGCAGCTAGTTGCCTGAAGCCAAAGGCAAGGGCCTGAATCTGGCCTCCTGGAGGGCTGGCTGGAAATGCTGAGCTCCTCAGAGTGGCTGGACTGGTTTTAGGGCACTGTGTTTTCAGCTGGTGCGCAGGGGTGGGAGTGTGCCCTGGCCACAGCAGCCACCCGAAGGAGGCCAGTGTGGGAAGTGGGTAACAGCGGCTGGGGCCCAGATGGGCAGGCCTCTCCTCCTGGCTTCTTCGCTTTGAGCATCCTGACCTTAGGCTACTTACTTAACCTCTAAGCCTTAAATCCTCATTTGTAAAATGGAAAAAATGATCGTTTCTTCCCAGCAAGATTCTGTCCTCATTAAATGAGTTAAAGGCTCGTGAAGCGCTTAGCATAACACTTGTTGCATGGCGAGCCCTCTATAAATCACAGCTGCTCTATAGGAGGGTGACGGAGGCAGCGGGAGCTCGGCTCAACCCCCGAACAAGAGCTGGGCCTGGGCAGTGCGTGGGGTCTCCCTCGCGCCACTCTCCATGGTTCTGTGGAAAATGCAAATATTGTCTGTGTGAATTTGGGAGCCAAGTTAAAGAATACTGTGAGTGAACAGGGGCCACCTCCTCCCGCGAAAGCTGTTTCCCTAACCCTGGAGGGACAGGACACGGAATCTAACTGGATGTTGCCTGCTCCCCCAAACCCCGCCCCCTAACCCAGGGATGACCTTGGCCTGGGTCAGCCCCTCAGTGCTGGGAGACCTCTTCCTCCGCCTGGGTGACCCTGACCATAACCACTGTGGCATCCGACCAGAGCCACAGCTACACATGGGAACCGGCACCAGACACCCCAAATTCACACTGAGACCTCTGCTCCCCGAGCCTAGCGTTCCTCACCCGTCAAGTGATACCTGTTGGGTTAGACATACACAAGCCCCAGAGAGGGGTGTCTGACACACAGCAGCTCTAACATCCTGCTTCTCTCCAGCACTGAGATGGAGTCAGGCTGATTCTCAGGCCGACTGCTTGGGATTCATGGGCAGAGAGGAGGCAACCACATGGGGTGCTGGGGCGCCCCGGGCAAACAGAGCAGTGAAGGGAGAGAGGTGGGAACTGTGCCGATTGGCAACCAGGTGTCTAGAACCTACCCCATTTCTGCCACGTAACCTCTCAGCCTCAGTTTCCCCATCTAACCAGTAGACGTAAGTACTGCCACTGGATTGTTCTAAGGGTTAGTGGTGCTTCTAGCCCTGGGGATGCGAGGCCCTTCAGAATTGCCCCCTTTGCCGGCCCCTCTCTGGGTAGCCATGTGGCTGTGGCTCCCTGATAACCTAGGGCCAGAGGCTGAGGCAGGCTGTGCCCCAGAGAGCACCCTACCACGGGGTGAAGGCAGGAAGCCCCACTTTTCCACCTCAGAGCTCCCAACCATAGTACCTCTTTGGCTGCCTGTTTTGCCAGCTCTTGTGGTTGATATCTCCTTAGCACATACTGTTCTCAAGTCACAGATCACATTTGACAAGCCAGTGTTTCTCAGCGGGAACAGTGTCGGAATGGGGGGAGCGGGGCATTCAGCTCCTCTGGTCCCTGCCCACTCAGTGCCAGCAGCACCCCCACCACCACCGGTGTCTAAACAGTGCCTGGCACAGTGCCGCCCCCACCAGGCAGTATTTCTACACACTTGCAGAATGTGCCACCCCCCCCAGGTGAGAACCCCTGTTTTGCCGCACCTTCAACATCCCTGATGTATGCCCCCTGGTGCTCACGCTCCGTCTAAACTCTTTCCTTTATCAGAAATGGACAACTGCCAAGGGCTGTCCATTCTGAAGTAGCTCAAAAAGCCACCCTGTTCCCTCTTGGACCTTGGTTCATCAGTTAACGTATTGTGAAGTCACCCAGAATGGAACAGAGTGCCCCCTGTGTGGCCTGACCCTCAGAGAACAATGGGCCGTCACCTCCCAGCCCTGAGTAGGCAACGTGTTGACATGGCCTGAGATGTAGGTGCTTCTCTTCTGGCAGCCACTCTAGTGTGTGCTGGTTTGTGCTCAGCTGAAACCCAAAGACTTTTCCCTTTGCTCCTATACTCATATTCTCTAATCCAAAGTGTAAGATGGGGAAAAATTTAAAAGACAGTCGTTAGTGAGTTTGGGCCCAGTTTTCCAGATGATTTTGAGTCCCAGGCTCTCATTGCGGTGTGTCAGCCATCTTCGCATCCCAGCCCTGTCCCCAATTTTGCATCCTTTGCAGATTCAACTGGTCGACCATCTCTGTCCATAGTGTGTTGTTCATGAAAATATTGACGAGGCCAGGCCTTTGGCGTGATCGTGGGGCCCTCAGGCCAGGTTGATAATGATCCTACTTCTCGTGGTTGTTTATCTGCCTTTAAATGGACACAAATTAATCCCAGCTCTACTCCACATTTCTCTGTCTTGTTCACATGAATGTTTTTAATCCAACGTGTTCGGCTGCCTTGCTAAATCTAGATTTCCGGCATTCCACCCAGCTTCAAGGCTTCGCGGCCCCTTTGGAGAGGGAGATGCACTTAGCCAAGCATGACTCGTTCTTGGTGACCCAGTGCCCACCCCTTCTCTCTGGGTGCCCGGTGTTCTGCTGTTGGAAGTCCCCGGGAGTTCAGGTTGGAGTTTCCAGAACCCATCCTTTTTGTTTGTGTGAGAACAGAGGTAGCTGGTCTCCCGAACTTTTCTGTTCCCGTGATTCCATGGGGATGACCAGAAGTGGCACTTCAGGCACATCTGTCCCTGGCCAGTGGTGCAATTCCCGCTCACAGGTGTCCTTATGTGCGCTTCATATCCCTGACAATTAACCGTGCTCTACCTTCTCCACTCTAAGATGGGGATCCGAGTGGTTCTGCTTCCTCGGCCACCTGTTTAACACTAGGACATGGCCTTACGCTCCTGCTTGGAACAAGATGCCATTTTTGGGAAACCTTTTTAGAAGGACCTTCATGTTTGTTTTAGCTCCCCTGCTGACCTGTGAGTAACAAAATGTCCTGGTGCCTTCACGTGCACGGGGCCTGGCCAGCTGGACGGCAAGCTCTCGGGCAGGGCCGAGGCAGCCTCTGCACTGGGCGGCCCACGGCCTCCAGAGAGGGGCTCTGGAAATGCCGGGAGGGGCCAAGCAGCGAGTATGTGGTTTGATGGCCTGTCGGACAAGCATGTCAGTGCAAAATCCTTTATAACGTCTGCAGATTCGTTTACAAGGGCCTGCTGCTGCTGGAGCCTGCACTTCCTTCAGCACAGCCTGCCTACCACTCCCTTTCCCCCCAGCGTCAGTCAGGTGCAGGTGGGTTAAAGCTGTGGTTTCCCTGTCTCTCCTGTTCTCACCTCTCACTCTGTCTTCCCTCGCTCATCCTAGGCCTACTTTTTTAGGGACTATGGCTGAGTTCCTGGTATCTGGACTGGATGGGGGGTGGGAGGGATCCTGGGGCCCTCCTTAGGGGCAGAACTGAACACCCAGAGTTAAAGCAGATCCTGGCCCTGCGAGCTGCTTCTGGGTCCAGGCCCTGCCATTGGTAGGTCAGGGTGAATGGAGGCAGAGCTGAAGGATGGGTTAGAGGCAGCGATTGGTCGGGTGGAAACAGGTTTGGCAGCTATCGGTTTATCCCAGAACAGATAAGGCCTCTCCTGGAGCTCCTCCCTGAACCTCCCCAGGTGGCCTTTCACCTGCTGCCCACAGTTGCCAGGAGCTCTGTGGGGACTGCCAGCACGATTTTGAGTCACCCTGAAATGTATACACCCGATGATCTGTCCTGTCCTAGACGCTGAAATTGCTCAGCCCAGGGCTGAGATAAAGGAATCCAGAGAAGGGGGGGTGGGGGAGCCTGTAGGGGAAGAAGATAGAGTCCCTGGCAAAAAGGAGGTCTTGGAGGACAGATCCAGGAGTTCACTGAGCTTGACCTCAGTAGGTATCCTAACAGTGGAGGTGAAGGGTGTATAAGGGTCCCTCCCACGCCAACTCTGCAGTAGAACTTCTCTGTGGAGAGCTGAGGGTGGTGTAAGGGTCCTCCTGTGCCCTCTTTAAGAGGCAGAACAGTCTAGTGCAGTGGCTCTCTGTGTGATCCCTGGACCAGTAGCTTCAGCACCACCTGTGAACTGGTTAGAAATGCAAATTCTTGGACCCCTTCCCAGACCTACTGGATCGGAGACTGGTGGGGCCCAGCTTGTTGATTTAACAAGCTCTCCAGGTGACTCTGGTGCATGTAAGTCTGAGAAGCACTGGCTCAGTCAGAGGATGGATTTTGGAGCCAGATCGCCTATGGATGGTCCCTGACTTACAGGGGCTTGACGTAATGATTTTTTGACTTTATGATGTGTGAACGTGATATGCATTCAGTAGAAACTATACTTGGGATTGTGAATTTTGAGCTTTTCCTGGGCTAGTGATAATGCGGTAGGATACTCTTGTGATGCTGGGCAGCAGCAGCGAGCCACAGCTCCTAGTCAGCCCCGCAGTCATGAGGGTCAACAGCCAACACTCCACAGTGTTTTTTGGATGCTATGTTTTGAGCATGCTTAAGGTAGGCTAGGCTAAGGTGTTGTGTTTGGTAGGTTAGGTGCATTAAATGCATTTTCAGGGCTAACTGGAATGTAACCCCATCGTAAGTTGAGAAGCAACTGTATTTAACAGCTGTGACCTTGGGCAAATCACTTAACCTCTGATCCTCTATAAAATGTTTCATCATCTATAAAATGGAAACAATAATGCCACTTGTTATTGTGATGATTAATGAATGCTTATAAGGAGTTTAATGGAGTGCTGTTACTTAAAAAGCATCTGTTAGTCTGGCCTCCTTTGACCTTCATTGTCTCTCTTTTTAGGTCGTATCTGATGCTGCAGGACAGGGCGTGGCCATCACGGGGAACCAGACCTTCAACAACTGGAACTGGCCCAATGCAATGATTTTTGCAGCCACTGTAATCACTACCATCGGTAAGTTTTCTGGGACCTTCAGGATATGCACTGCCATGCCCTAGCTCCGCAGAACCTTATGGGAGTACAGTTCTGGTCACACTGCCTTGTCGAGGTAAAATTGGGCCCTTTGCAGCCTGTCCTTTTGACACTCTTCCTGGGATTTAGAAATCCTTGGTGACTGGCTGTGCCTGGGAGGCTGTGCAGGCATCCTGACCTGGGCTCTTGGAGCAGAAAGACACGGCCTAGTAGTCAGAGCCATGCAAGGGGCCAAGCAGGCCACTCGCTATACAAACCCAGCCGTGCTTGGTCCCCAAGCTTGTGTCTGTTCTGGTTACGTGTGGATGGCTGCATAGCAAGCCACTTCAGAAGTTAGTAACTAAAAGACACAACTTCTTATCTTTTGCCATTCTGTGGGTCCGCTGGTCTCCACTGGTCGGTTCTTGCTTGAGGCCTCCCAGGCAGCAGTGGTCACGGTGGCTGGCGCCGGCCTCGTCTGCAGACCTAGCTGGCGGACATTCACAACGTCTTCTTCCATCACGTGCTGATGCTTCATGCTGGCTGTTGGCCAGGAGCTCAGCTGGAGGGAAAACCTATAGTGTGGGTTCCAGGAGGGCAAATACCAAAGCGAGCATTTCAAGAGATCAAGGGGAGAGGCGGCAGTCTTAGATCTAGCCTACCCGCTGTCACTGGTCAAGCAAGTCACCAAAGCCCAGATTCCGAGGGAGGGGAATTAGACGCCAGCTTGACGGGAGCAGCAGGGTTGCAGGAGAAGGGCAAGAATGAAGAATGTCCATCTTCAGAGACCATCTGCTACAGTGCCTCTGGGGTATCTACCCAGAGAAGGGTGTCTTTTTCTAATTTGCACATGGATATACCGACTTGAGAAGACTTGCTAATGGTAGAGGCTTCGTCTGCCTTCAGGGAGCTCCCAGTCCGATGGCAGAGCCACAGCCCACACCATCATAAGTGCTGTAAAAGATCACGATCATAGTGTGATCAAGAGAAATGTCACTTCCCAAGCATTGATATTAGGTCAAGAGCAAGTGGTCTTAGAGAACGGGTCTCCCTCTAGCTGCGTGTGTGTGTGTGTGTGTGTGTGTGTGTGTGTGTGTGTGTGTGTGTGTGTGTGGTGGAAGCAGGGCCCACTCCAAGTCTGACTCCATTACCCCAGCTGCGGCCCTGCTCTTAGCTTCACTTTTCATCCTCAGGCTATGGCAATGTGGCCCCCAAAACCCCCGCTGGGCGTCTCTTCTGTGTCTTCTATGGTCTCTTTGGAGTGCCACTCTGCCTGACATGGATCAGTGCCCTGGGCAAGTTCTTCGGGGGACGAGCGAAGCGGCTGGGCCAGTTCCTCACCAAGAGAGGCGTAAGCCTGGTATGTCCCCAACCCTAGGTGCTGGGCAGAGATGGGGGGGTCCCTGGCCTGGCAGGAGATGGGAGGGTAGGAAGGATCTAAGAATTGGACAGAGGTGTTAGAGGGCAAGAGGCCAGTTTCAGAGCCCCCTGTCCTCCTGGGTCAGGCTGGCATCATTTCCCCTTCCCCTCAACCCTGGGCAGTGAGCCTCCTCCCAGGTGTGGCACCCCGCTGGCCTCTCCTCTGTCCATCTCCCCAGCCCTCTGGGTGTCCCTGCTGGGACCCCCTGGTCGCCACCGTTGTCTGACTCGGTCTCCCCTCCATCCCATCAGCGGAAGGCACAAATCACATGCACGGCCATCTTCATCGTGTGGGGCGTCCTGGTCCACCTGGTGATCCCACCCTTCGTGTTTATGGTGACCGAGGAGTGGGACTACATTGAGGGCCTCTACTACTCCTTCATCACCATCTCCACCATCGGCTTCGGCGACTTCGTGGCCGGTGAGTCCTGCCCACCCCACCTTCTCTTTCTCTGCTTCTCCAGCCTCGGGTCAGCTGACCTGCATCGGGAGCCCCAGTGGGCATTTGTGTCGTGGGCCCTTTCTCCACTCTACCAGTTGCAAGAGGAAACCAAGGCACAGAGCAATTGCAGAAGATGCCTGTTTCCCTTTCTTGGGATGTGGCTTTCGTCTCCTCTCCTCTCTGGGTGTTTAGCATTTGATCCCTTCCTAGCAGGCTGGAGACTGGGAAAGGCACATGCATGCCCATCTCCTGAACTTCGGGGCACTAGCTAGGGGGTGAGCCTTCTACCTGCGGGGTTGGTGCCTGCTGCCCAGAGAGCCCCTGGGCCAAGCCAGGGCCCTCCCTGTCACAGAGCTGCCTTCCTTCCATCATTCATATGATTCGAGGGAGCTACCCCAGAGGCTTGGCTCAGAGGCCTGAAACTTTACTCTTGCCACAGGCAGTTTAAACACAAGAGAGGCTTTTTCCTGAGCTCCTTGGGCCCAGACACTCCCTCCCCTATGTAATCCAGGCAGAAGATAAGGTTCTTTGGCTCCTTTGTCCTTTCACTCGATCACTGTAGTACTTGTGCCTGTGGCCAGCACAGTATCCTGGTTCTTAATCTTCTTGACACCCCGTTTGGCCACACTGACCCAGTGTTTGTTCCCCTAATGCCTGCTGCCCTGCCCGGTTGACCTCAGCCTCTGCTCCAGGGGCCTCTGGTCTCTCCCTCCCCCATCCAGGGGGCAGGGACAGGTCAGGCCCTTCTGCCCCATTGTAAGTGGAGACTCGGGAATGCTGGCAGGGGGCAGCCGAGTGGGGGGAGGAGCAGGAAAGAGAAGCCTGAACACTCCACTGACCTGGCAGATCTGGGCCTGCTGTTTTGGGAGATAAATTAAGACAGAGGCACAACCCTGCCATTGTGGTGCCAGAGCAGGCAAAGGAGAAGCCTCCGTACTGGAGAAGCACACAGCATGTTTGAGGATACTTTCTCAGCTCCAGCAAGACACTAAACCTCCGCCTCAGTGTCCTTACCTGTAAAACTGGTTAAAAAAAAACAAAAAACCCAAAGTAATAGTGCCTACCTCCCAGGGCGGTAGAGGAGTCAACTGAGTTACTGTTCATCGGCGCTGAGGAGAGGGCCTGGCTATATAAGTGTGTGCCCTGGTTGTCATCACACCTGCTTGTGCCCAAGATCCTGAGTAAGATTAGCAGCACCCCCTGTCTGCAGGTGGAGACACAGCTCTTGCCGTCGGGGAACCTCCAGTCCGATGAGGGAGGTACAGTCCTGCCCCCACCCCAGACAGAGCCCCCTTTCTCTAGTTCCAGGCTGCTCCCTAGCTCCGGGGGCCTGGGGGAGGAGAGGAGGCTACAGGATACATAATGATACAGACCAACATGCTGGAAGTGGAAAGCACACAGCCTCAGATAATCCTGCAATGTAGGAAAACAGCCAGAACTGTGGGGGGTGACCCGGGAGGGCTCCCTGGAGCAGGTGTCAGGATCTCGCCGTGGGAGGAACCAGTCCAGGGAGGGCAGAAACAGGAAACCAGGAGGCAGGCCAGCCCTCACTGAAGGAGAATCAGGGCTGTCCCGAATATTTCCTCCTGGGACCAGTGCTCACCGTCCTCTCGGCCAACCCCCAGCCTCGTTTCTATTAAACTCCTGAGCCTGTTTCTTCAGTGAGGGTGTCAGAGCCCCTCACTTTTCATCCTGGTTTTAACTGAACTATAACAAATACACCAAAAAACGTACACAAAACAGCTAGGTGTCAGGATAGGTGACTAACTGAAAGGCAAACATTCGTGGGCTGTTTCCTGCCCTGTGTGCTGGCTCCAATACCAGCCTTCCCGGCGACCCTGTCCCCTGAGCCTCCCTGAGCCTAGCGAACCACTCTCCTGACTTCTGGCAGCTGAGGAAACTGAGGCTCAGGCAGCTGAGGGTTGAGAAAAGCACCTGAGTGCCTGGACCAAGGCCCTGCGGGCGATGGGGCATGCCAGCTTCTAGAACAGGCCTCCTTCCTTTCTCAGTGGGTCCCACTGTGTGTCCTGTGCTCTGGCACAATGCCCGCTCTTGGAGGCTTTGACCTTAGGTGTTTCCACGTCCCACTGATGTGCTCCTGACCCCTGGGCTTCTCCTGTTCTGTCCTCAGGTGTGAACCCCAGCGCCAACTACCACGCCCTGTACCGCTACTTTGTGGAGCTCTGGATCTACCTGGGGCTGGCCTGGCTGTCCCTGTTTGTCAACTGGAAGGTGAGCATGTTTGTGGAGGTCCACAAGGCCATTAAGAAGAGGCGGCGACGGCGGAAGGAGTCCTTCGAGAGCTCCCCACACTCCAAGAAGGCTCTGCAGATGACAGGGAGCACTGCCTCCAAGGACGTCAACATCTTCAGCTTTCTGTCCAAAAAGGAGGAGACCTACAACGACCTCATCAAGCAGATTGGGAAGAAGGCAATGAAGACGAGTGGGGGTGGGGACAGGGTCCCGGGGATGGGACCTGGACCTGGACCTGGACCTGGAGCAGGACTGGGACCAGGACCGGGGCAAGGATCGGGCCTGGTCCCTCAGGGCGGCGGGCTGCAGGGTGTCCCTGCCTCCCTGGTCCCCCTGGTGTTCTACTCCAAGAACCGGGTGCCCAGCTTAGAGGAGGTGTCTCAGACACTAAGGAGCAAAGGCCATGTGTCGCGGTCCCCCAGTGAGGAGGCTGGGGCCGGGCCCCCCGAGGATGGCTCCCCCACCTCTGAGGTGTTCATTAACCAGCTGGACCGCATCAGCGAGGAGGGCGAGCCGTGGGACGCCCAGGACTACCACCCCCTCATCTTCCAGAACCCTAACATCACCTTTGCGAACGAGGAGACCAGCCTCTTGGATGAAGAGACGTCCAAGTCCTCTCTGGAGGACAACCTGGCCGGGGAGGAGAGGCCCCAGGAGGAGGCTGGGGCTGAGGCGCCCCTGAACTTGGGCGAGTTCCCTTCCTCGGACGAGTCCACCTTCACCAGCACTGAGTCGGAGTTCTCTGTGCCTTACGAACAGCTCATGAACGAGTACAACAAGGACAACTGCCCCAGGGGCACGTGAGGCGGGGCCGGCTCCCCACTCCACCTCTGGCTTCTGTTACCCTCATCCTGGGCTGTCCTGCTGTGCCTGGGACCCCCTGGATCTGGGAGTGGGGGGCCAGGGCCTTCCTCACCTTCATCCCCTCCAGCTAGATGCCACCTGCCAAGCGTGGCGTCCCCAGGACAGGGCCTCTTCTCCAGCTGAGCGGCACCTGGCGGTGGGAGGCGTCTGTCCTGGGCACAGCTGGTTTATTTGATGGTTCAAAGACACCGTGGGCTGGCAAGACTGACCCCGAGGAGGCCTGCACTGCATGGGCCTTCGCCCCATCATACGGTTGAGAATGTCAAACGGTTCTCCTAGGTCGGGGCCCTGGCCTGTTGAGCTTAACCAGTATTAATGAACTTCTGTGTGCTCAGCACTGAGCTGGCATTTCCAAGAGAGTGAGGGCCCTGCCTTTGGAGGTCCAGCTGGGGGGTAGGGCTGGACACTTCAGGCCTCTGCAGGAGCAGGTCTCTGCCTGTGGCAAGAATCCCCCCCCCCCCC